CGATATCTTCACAAAATTTTACAAATTAAAATCTTATATCAATAGAATTCATTCAGAGAAAAAATTTTCTGGATCGGTCCATAATTGGTCATAGCTCCCATACAAGGTCCCCTCCCGAAAATCACTTAAAAGCGCATAACTCATTACTTAATTAAGATATCCATATAAAATTTGGTACAAGTATTGCCTATATATACAGAAATATTACTGAGAAATTTTTTTCCGATCGGTCCATAATTGGTCATAGCTCCCATACAAGGTCCCCTCCCGAAAATCACTTAAACGCGCATAACTCATTACTAAATTAAGATATCCATATAAGATTTGGTACAAGTATTTCTTATCTATTCAGTAATATTACTGAGAATTTTTTTTCCGATCGGTCCATAATTGGTCATAGCTCCCATACAAGGTCCCCTCCCGAAAATCACTTAAACGCGCATAACTCATTACTTAATTAAGATATCCATATAAAATTTGGTACAAGTATTGCTTATCTGTACAGAAATATTACTGAGAAATTTTTTTCCGATCGGTCCATAATTGGTCATAGCTCCCATACAAGGTCCCCTCCCGAAACTCACTTAAACGCACATAACTCATTACAAAATAAAGATATCCATATAAAATTTGGTAGAAGTATTGCCCGTATGCACAAAAATATCACTGTGAAATTTTTTTCCGATAGGTCCATAATTGGTCATAGCTCCTATACAAGGTCCCCTCCCGAAAATCACTTAAAACCACATAACTCATTAGTAAATGAAGATATCCATATAAAATTTGGTACAAGTATTTCTCTTATATACAGTAATATTACTATGAAGGTTTTCTTGGATCGGTCCATAATTGGTCATAGCTCCCATACTAGGTCCCCTCCCGAAAATCACTTAAAACCACATAACTCATTAGTTAATGAAGATATCCATATAAAATTTGACACAAGTATTTCATGATTGGTCCATTCTTGGTCGTAGCTCTCATACAAGGTTCCCTCCCGAAAATCACTTTAACGCACATAACTCATTACCAAATATTGATATTGATAATGATATAGATACAGAATTTTGAAATTTTGTCTTTATATACATAATTGGTCATAGCTCCTATACAAGGTCCTTTTACGAAAATCTCTTAAACGCACATTACTCATTACCAAATAAAGCTATTGATACAAAATTTGGCACAAATATTAGTTTTGTATACAAAAATTCTATTTCAAGATTTTTTCACGATCGGTTCATAACAAGGGTGCGGTCGGTCCCATACAAGTTTCCCTTCAGAAAATCAAAAAAACACTCATAAGTTATTACAAAATTACGATATAGATACAAGATTTTACTGAAATATAGCTTTTATGTACAGAAATTTTGCTTAAAGATTTTTTTACAATCGGTCTATAATTGGTTTATGTGATCTCCAATACTAGGTCCTGCCCTTAAAAGCGCTTTAACCGTATTTAACTAGTTGCATTATCAATTTGTTTAGAGCAAGATTATATATAGATATGTATTTTAAAAATCCTTAAATCTTCCACACACATGCATACATGCAAATTACTAAATATCACTAAGCGCTAGCACTCTAACTTGTTTTCATTTAACTTACCCTCTAAGTAGACAAGTAATATTAGAGCAAAGTGTAAGTACTTACTTTTTGTTCTACGAATACCAAAAAGTAAGTGGGCTAACTAACTAACTACTAACTACTAACTAACTAACTAACTAACTAACTAACTAACTACTAACTACTAACTAACTAACTAACTAACTAACTAACTAACTAACTAACTAACTACTAACTACTAACTACTAACTAACTAACTAACTAACTAACTAACTAACTAACTAACTACTAACTAACTAACTAACTAACTAACTAACTACTAACTAACTAACTAACTAACTAACTACTAACTAACTAACTAACTAACTAACTAACTAACTAACTAACTAACTAACTAACTAACTAACTAACTAACTAACTAACTAACTACTACTAACTAACTAACTAACTAACTAACTAACTAACTAACTAACTAACTAACTACTAACTAACTAACTAACTAACTACTAACTAACTAACTAACTAACTAACTAACTACTAACTAACTAACTACTAACTAACTAACTAACTAACTAACTAACTACTAACTAACTAACTAACTAACTAACTAACTAACTAACTAACTAACTACTAACTAACTACTAACTAACTAACTAACTAACTAACTAACTAACTAACTAACTAACTACTACTAACTAACTAACTAACTAACTAACTAACTAACTAACTAACTAACTAACTAACTAACTAACTAACTAACTAACTAACTAACTAACTAACTAACTAACTAACTAACTAACTAACTAACTAACTAACTAACTAACTAACTAACTAACTAACTAACTAACTAACTAACTAACTAACTAACTAACTAACTAACTAACTAACTAACTAACTAACTAACTAACTAACTAACTAACTAACTAACTAACTAACTAACTAACTAACTAACTAACTAACTAACTAACTAACTAACTAACTAACTAACTAACTAACTAACTAACTAACTAACTAACTAACTAACTAACTAACTAACTAACTACTAACTAACTAACTAACTAACTAACTAACTAACTAACTAACTAACTAACTAACTAACTAACTAACTAACTAACTAACTAACTAACTAACTAACTAACTAACTAACTAACTAACTAACTAACTAACTACTAACTAACTAACTAACTAACTAACTAACTAACTAACTAACTAACTAACTAACTAACTAACTAACTAACTAACTAACTAACTAACTAACTAACTAACTAACTAACTAACTAACTAACTAACTAACTAACTAACTTAACTAACTAACTAACTAACTAACTAACTAACTAACTAACTAACTAACTAACTAACTAACTAACTAACTAACTAAACTAACTAACTACTAACATAACTAACTAACTAACTAACTAAGCTAACTAACTAACTAACTAACTAACTAACTAACTAACTAACTAACTAACCTAACTAACTAACTAACTAACTAACTAACTAACTAACTAACTAACTAACTAACTAACTAACTAACTAACTAACTAACTAACTAACTAACTAACTAACTAACTAACTAACTAACTAACTAACTAACTAACTAACTACTAACTAACTAACTAACTAACTAACTAAACTAACTAACTAACTAACTAACTAACTAACTAACTAACTAACTAACTAACTAACTAACTAACTAACTAACTAACTAACTAACTAACTAACTAACTAACTACTAACTAACTAACTAACTAACTAACTAACTAACTAACTAACTAACTAACTACTAACTAACTAACTAACTAACTACTAACTACTAACTAACTAACTAACTACTAACTAACTAACTAACTAACTAACTAACTAACTAACTAACTAACTACTACAACTAACTAACTAACTAACTAACTACTAACTAACTAACTAACTAACTAACTAACTAACTAACTAACTAACTAACTAACTAACTAACTAACTACTAACTAACTAACTAACTACTAACTAACTACTAACTAACTACTAACTAACTAACTAACTAACTAACTAACTAACTAACTACTAACTAACTAACTAACTAACTAACTACTCTAACTAAACTAACTAACTAACTAACTAACTAACTACTAACTAACTAACTACTAACTAACTAACTAACTAACTATCATCTATCTATCTATCTATCTATCTATCTATCTATCTATCTATCTATCTATCTATCTATCTATCTATCTATCTATTAAATATATTTTACGGGGGGTAAAAGTAGGTCCTTTTTATGTTTTCCAGTTATAACAAATTCCTTTCGAAATGTTTAATCTAACACAATATGCTGTAGGGTATTAATAAATAAATTTTTCAATTAATGTGGGCGCCTTTTCCGAATGTTTGTTTTTATTATTATTGTACAAACTTGCAATAGTTCTGTTTTTGTCCATTTTGCTTTTATTACCGTAGACATTCTAATGAACAACAAACGAAAAAAAACTCTACAAAATAAGCAACATATGATTATTAAAAGCAACATTAAAAGAAACTTAACAAGTTTATAGCAACATGTTGCAGAAGAAAAAGAGAACATAGAAATAAGCAAGTTGTTTTTTAATAAGACAGGTTTTTGTTTAACAGCAACAAGTTGCTATAATAAAGCAAATCCTGTAGACAATGTTGCCAGCAAGTTGTGGGTTTGTTATGTTGCGAGTGTCCTTTAACAAGTAGAGGTATTTTAATGTAATGTATACTAAAGAATAAGTGGAAAAACGGGTTGTAAAAGGACTCGCACAAGAAATCCAAAATAAAACATTTGTTGTTTTTGTTTTTTCTTTTTGTGTGAGGATTGCTTAACAAAACAGCTGAGTCCTTTAACAACTAATTTAAGGGTAGTTTTTTTTAAGGATTGTTATTGTTTCTGCTAAACTACAAAAAAAAATGTTGACTGTTAACTTGGCCTCGGTGAGTAAAAAAACACTTGGCAAAATAAAAGCAACAATAATTGAATAAGAAATACATGGGAGTAAAGTTTGATGATGATAATGATAATGTTGATAATAATAATGATGTTCGTTGGTTGTTTTTAGCTAGTGTTGCTTGATGGCCGGTTGGAAAACAATTTTTTTACACTTGTACACTTGATTTTATGTAGAGTCAGTCTCTTTTATTCACAACTTTTGTTGCTTTCCAAACGTATACGGTTTTCGTGAGTATGTCTTTCTATAGCTGTTTGTGTGCGTGTGTGTGTCAGTTAGTGTATTTTTTTTTTCGTTTCCTTTTCTTACTTTTAGCCATCTGTTTGGTTGTTTGTTGCAAATGTTTCTGTTGACTGTTTGTTTCTTATTTATGTGTGAGTGTGTGTGTGTGTGTCTGTGTTTTAGCCAAATGTCTCCATGTTTTTGAACAAAAATTATTACCACATACTCGTACACAAAATTTCAGTTTCATTTCAAACGTTGTGCCGAATTGTTGTAAAATTGATGCGCGCTCGCTTGTCCCTCTGACAAAGAAATAACACACAACGTTCTGTGTTCTGTATTCTACTCAAATACGTTACGCGTTTGTTAATTTATTTTTTAGTTTCGGTTTTAATAGAAAAATTTTTTGCGGCATTTTTTTAATAATAGCAACAAAAAAGCGAAATAAAAAGTTTAAAAATATTTCTGCGACGAAACGTTAAAACGAAACGAAATTTGTTGAAAATTAAAAAAGAAAAGAAAATTTATGAAAATTTTTTTGAAATTAAAAAAAGTTATTAATTTAAAAGTTAAATTTAATTTAAAGTTTAAACAAAAAGTTTATACAAAAACCAATTTTAAACCTCCAATTGAAAGGAATTTAATGAAAAAAATTTTAAGGCAAAAGCAAAATAGTATACGAAGTAAGAATAAATAAATCATAAAAATATATTTTAACAAAAATTATGAAAAAAATGTATAAAAATTAAAAAGTTATAAAAAATATATAACAAAATTGTTGAAAATTTCAAAATTTTATTGCAAAAAATGTATTTAAGTTTTTAAAAATCATGTCTACGGTTGTTCGTTATATGGATTATTAAAGCAGTTTATGAAATATGTATTTATTCTCATCATTGTTGTCTTAACTGAAATTATATGATTTTACGAAATTTTTGGGAATTTATTAAATTTTCTTAAGAAATCCGAAAGGTTATTAAATGAGTGTTAAACTTATATTTGCAGTTGTGGCATAGCTCTGTTATAATGATTTTTGTTTGCAAAACTAGTTTTTAAAATAATTGAAAATTCGAAATTTTTATTTAAAAACTACCTTTCACTACTTATACATTGGCATTTAAGCTCATTTTATTGTAGACAACTACTCTAGGCTTGCTTACAAATAAGGAGTTATATAAGTACTTGCTAATAAACAGATAGTTGAGTTAGATTCTACAAGCAAATCTGGAATCTTATTATCAAACAGAAATACTATTTCATTTTCTATATGTTTATAAAAACCGTTTGCTAATACAAAATAGCAAAAACTTTATAATAAGCACTTCTATATAAGAGGATATGTAAGTCATTACTAGATTACTTACAAGTAATACTGATGCTTAGTAGTAGTATTTGATGCTTAATATCTGTTGAATATTCACAAGTCATTACCAAATATTGGGTATCGATATAATACTTCTCTACATTGACTTTAGATCATTGAATGAAATTTTAGGTTTATGAATACTTGTCGAGCTCTCATTATGAGAATCAGCAGTCTGTTTGAAAAATTGTGAAGTTACTAAGTGTTTCCCTCAATCAAGTAAACAAAAACTCATTCAACATTCTGTGGAATAGTAGAATTGAAAACTTTTTTCAAAACTTATATTCAAAATTCAGAAATTTTTATTAAATGTGAAAAAATTAAGTTTTAAGTAATAGTGTGTTATACAGTGGTTTATGAATGTATTATTTTCTAGAACTATTGCTGATATCTTAATGCAGATGCCTTCGAGTTGCTCAACAGTTCTAAGACTTGTCGTTGAAATGGTGGCTACTGGTGGGCCCCCAGGTATTGATCACCTCGTGTAAAAGTCTTTTGATTTTTGCATAGGTTAAAACTGAAACCCTAGTCTCATTATTTCCCCCCGGGTACATCTTATTGTTATTGCAATCCCGGGGAAAAGAGGTGCTACCAGTATCTTTAGTCTGCCGGGACTATAAACTGATAATGATCAAATATATCCTCGGCCTTTTCTTGGAATGATTTGACATGGGGTCGAACTAGAGAACCTCACAATCTGGTACCATGGGAACCTGTTTCCCACTGGTCAGAGTTTCGGACTTTATCTTGCCCTGGTTATAAAAGAGGTCACTTTGAGCCAAACTTGAGCAAAGTGCTTGTACATGGACCGGCAGAACCATGTACAAAAATAGCCACCGGTGAGTAAGAAACACAATGGGGCGGTGGTGAGTCGTCTAGTCAGCTCAGCCAGTGATTGAAAAGTACTATCGTGTAATAGGGACAACACGACAGGTGTTCACTTACATTTGCTACAGTTAGAATCTACTTCCATTAACAAGAATTAACCTCTTGTCTATGAGATTTCATAGGAATATTGGGGTAATTTCACTTCTTTTCCGTTTGATTCGCCAACCAATAAACAGTAGCGCTACTCATAACTCTATTGATCATAATTTTACCTATAAATTGAAAAATCGGTTGACTAATATCCTAATCTCTCCCGGGACGATAAGATAGCCTTCAGAAATGTTTTCTAAGAAGCCCTTGTAATCTGTATAAAAGGTCTGTAATCTATTTCATTTGTCCACAAGAGAATTATCAATGAAATCTGCTAGTAAGTGGTATAAGTCTCTGAAGTCGAAGGGCTAGACTTCAGAAACACATTCGAAGAAGTCCCTCGATATCTAAAAAGGCCTAGACCAATTCAAATTGTTAGTGCACAGGAAAAATTGTCTATGAAATCTGCGGGAGATTGTTATTAGTCTCCACAGATTTTGCGAAAAGTCTCACATGTAGATTATTGCGAAAATTTTCATGAGAAAGAAAGACTAGTGTGATATTCTTCGCTTTGGTATGAGAAGCTTTTTCAACTTTTAGGGTATAGATTACTATGCACCTGGTCTAGGATTTAGCGATATAGGTTCAGTCAATTCAGCTTGCATATAAACGAGTTAACTCAACGTAGTGATAGGCCATATTAAAATGCCATCTGGAGCCGATTCAGTTTTTCTTAATTTTTGGGGAATTGAACCTATCATTGAGATTCGCAGTCTGATCTTCTATAATATTGCAAATCAACTATCTAGAAAGTTGTTTGAAATTTTATTTCCATCAGAATAGACCAGATATCGGCAAAAGGATAGATAATAAAGAGCTCTCTAACTGTAGGCTGGTGTAAACAAAAAACATTTGTCTGTGAGAAATCAAGAGAACTCTTTTCCAATACCAGTTGTAGACTAAAAACGAGTCATTATAACAAGTATAAGAGAGGGAGGATTGACTGAAAGCTCTATCAGTTTTAAGATAACAAGTTTCTGCTGCAGTTTTATTTCCATCTCAATAGATTAGGTATTTGATGAGAGATATAGTATAATGAGCTCTTCAGTGGGTTGTATATGTATTTTATGTAAGTAGATGTGAGCAAACATTTGTTCGAGTGAAATCAAAAGAACTCTTTGTCAATACCAGTTATAGCCTCAAAACGACTCATTATGACAAGTATCAGAGAGAGAGAGAGAGAGAGGAAGAGAAAAAAGCAGGAATTAAAAGCTCTACAAGTCTTAACATAACGATCTTTTGCTACAATTTTATTTCCATTTCAATAAACCAAATATTGACAGAGTGAGAGAGAAGAGTTCTCCATCTGGTTTTGTTTGTATTTTAAGTAGATGTGAGCAAACATTTGTCCTGATGAAATTAAAAGAACTATTTGCTTATACTTGTTATAGACTAAAAACGACTCATTATGACAAGTATCAGAGAGAGGAAGAGAAAGAGCAGGGATTAAAGCTCTATTAGTCATAAAATAACGATCGTTTGCTATAATTTTATTTCAGTTTCAATAGACACAGAACAGCTCTCCAACTGGTTTTGTTTATACTTTTAACAGTTGAGAGTAAAAATAAACATTTGTCCAAGTGGAATCATGAGAACTAATTGACAACAGAAGTTTTAGACTAAAATCGGGCCATTCTGAAAGCTCAATTTTATATCCATCTCAATAGACCAACTATCGCCAAAGCAATAGAGATTAATAAGCTCTCCAGATGGTTGTATTTGTATTTTATGCACTTGAGAGTATGAAATCAAGAGAACCCTTGCCAATACCAGTTATTGGCTTGAGCGAGTCATTCTAACAAGTATCTGAGAGAGAGAGAGAAAGAGGGTATCTGCTTTGTCTTTATACATTAGATCTAGTTGGATTAAATTATTCAAAATACCTTAAAAGCTTCAACTTAACTTCTATTAAGCTTCGTGCAGAGCGTTACAATTAAGACAGGTTTTCATAGCCAAGGAACTAGTTACGGAACTAGTCATGCTTTAGCTTCTCTGCTTGTTCGACTTTATTCTCTTCAGGGTATAAAAAATTGACTTAAAAATGGAACTAGTCATGCTTTAGCTCCTCTGCTAGTTCGACTTCATTCTCTTCAGGGTATAAAAATTCACTTAAAAATAATAACATCAACTTAAATAAAATAATTATTTCAATGCTATGACACTAAACGCCTTTTGTCCAAAATTTAACTGTCACATGTTATTAAAAAATAATTTCAAAATTTATTAACTCATAATGAACATAAATCAATATGTATTAAAAATATAAAGAAATTCTATAAAAACTAAACATATAAATATAAAAATTATTAGAAAAAAACTAAAAAATACATAAAGCAACAAATGACCGCATGTTGAAAATATGTCTCACAGTGAAAAAGCAAAATTTTGAAATTTTGTTATACAAAATTTGTCGTGACTTTACAATATAAAATACAAAATAACAAAAAACTAAATGAAATTATAAATAAACATATTACAAAATCTTATAAAAATAGCAACAAAAACAAATCAACAACATTAAATGAAAAATCTAATAAAAAAAAATATCTTACAAAATTTAAAGAAAATTAAAAAAAAAAAAAAATAAAAAGAAATTAAAAAAAATGGAACAAAAATTTAGTGTGTTTTTAAAAAATATATATATTTAAAACTAAACTAAAAATGTGTCATTTACTTAAACACACACACACACATATGACTATAGAAAATTTTAAATAAAATAAACAAAAATATGAAATCAAAAAGAAATATAGAAAAATTAGTGAAAAAATATTGAAAACGAAAAGAATTAAGAAAAGAAAAGAAAATCGACTGAAAGTGAAAAAAAAAAAAAAAAATTATGAAAAATTATTTAATTTGTTTTTTATTATTTTTAATTTTTCTTTTCAAAATTATCACTGTGAAAAACCTTTGACTAGTGTTTGAAATAAATAAATAAATCATTTAATATATAAACATAAATTTTAAAGAGCAAACGTTTAAAAAGCTACAGACTGTTTTCAATCAAATGGAAAAATCTTTAACCATGATTTTGTAAAAACAATTTGCATTTAAAATTAAAAAAAAAACACAAAATTATGGTGTCTATTAAAATATTATTGACGTCTGTGAAACATGTGTGAATATTATTTAAGAAAAAAAAAAAAAAAATAATAATTAATAAATCTACACAAACGGCGAATTTTTTATACCCTATAGAATAAATATTACAAAAATACAGCAAAAAGGAAGACGATGTTTTCAAACTTCGAAAAAAATGTTCAGTTCTGTTGTAGTTTTGTTCTTGATCTATCCAAGTTCTGTTCTAGTTCTGTTCTAATTCTGTTCTAGTTCTGTTCTAGT